CCGACTGTAATGAGGCGAAAAACTATCTTCCGAACGCGTCTGAGAAAATTTGTAGTAATGTTTCCTCTCGTGGAAATGATTTCAAAGCAAATGGACAAATAATTGGTTCCATCTTGCAATGAAATTCACGAGAAACTCTACTTTTTTTTTATCTGAAGTTCGAAGATTAATGTTTCTTCATTCATTCTGATTTCTAACAGTTTCCATTGTGAAATATTCATTCTGTTTTCTTTCATTGTAATGTTATATTGATTCACTTTGAATTTACACCATTCCAAAATTAGACAAAACCTTTTTACAATCCCTTTAACAAGAACCACAGACATCTGATTGAAAATTAGAATGATGTAAATTGATGTTATCAGTGTCCCTGATACACATAAAAAATTAAGAAAACCTCTTTACAATCTCTTTAACAAGAACCACAGACATCTGATTGAAAATTAGAATGATGTAAATTGATGCTATCAGTGTCCCCGATATACATAAAAATTTAGAAAACCTTTTTACAATCCCTTTTATCAATTCAATGCCAAAGGAATTGGACCTGGCAGGAAAATCTGCCAGAAGTAAAATTTTGCAGGACTGAAATTATTCCAACAAAGTTTTTTCGATATTTTTCCAAATTTTTCCATAGCAACTTTTTGATGTTTATTCCTGACAAGTTCTCTTCATAGACCAATTAGCAGTCTGAGAGATATTGACAGGCTCAGCAGAATCATTTTTATTCTTGGAATAATCTCTTCCTGATTACTGGCAGACTTGCAGGAACTTGAGGAACTGTCAGAGACAAAAATTGAAATGATCATGCACACCATTTAACCTAGTTTTCCCTTGTCCGTGATGTAGGTAAGAGGGGCTGACATAAAGTGTCCAGTCGTTCAGATGGGACAATAAACCGAGGCCCCGTGTGCTACAGGCTGTACACGTTAAAGATCCCTTCACAGTTGGAAATCGAAAAAGAGCAGGCAAATGTCACTGACCTGGCAAAATTTCCCTCATTGCACACTGCATGGTGTTGCTAGTCTTCATGTGTCCTATCATACACAGAAAAAACTAAAAGCATCTAGTCGTTTGGTTGGGACAATAAACCAAGGCCCTTTGCGCTACAGGCTGTACACGTAAAAGATCTCTCGACAGTTGAAAATTGAAAAAGAGTAAGCTAATGCCACTGTCCTGGCAAAATTTCCATCATTGCACACTGCATGGTGTTATCACAGTCCTCATTTGCCCTATCATGTATTGAAAAAACTAAAAGCATCTTGTTGTTCAGATGGGACAAAAAGTTGAAAATGGAAAAAAAGTTGGCTAGTGCAGCAGTCCTGTCAAAATTTCCCTCATTGTACACTGCATGGAGTTGCCAGCCCTCATTTGCCCTATCATGTACAGGAAAATTGCTTCAACCAAAATATGAATATTGTATTTGTGTAATAAATACTCTATAACTTATCTTGCCAACCTCTTGAAAAGTACAGTATTAGTAGTGGTGGATTCCTGGAAGCAGAAGAACCCTGCAGACGAGATAGAGAACAGTTTTCAATGAACTTGTAGATAATTTGTTTTTGTGAGACCCACTCAGTGGCTTACAGATTTGACATTACGCCGGTGAAGTAAAGTGCTATTAGTGGATGACTATACTTGTTTCGAAGATTCTTTCATAAACTTTAGTGTGTTTTCACTCAGTGACAGTGCCTGAATTATATAGCTATGTTCAGATGGGACAATAAACCGAGGCCTCGTGTGCTACAGGCTGTACACGTTAAAGATCCCTTGACAGTTGGAAAAGGGTAGGCTAATGTTGCTGTCCTGGCAAAATTTCCCTCATTGTACACTGCATTGAATTCATGTACAGGAATATTGCATCAACCAAAATATTGTATTTTTGATTAAATTAACTCTAACTTATCTTGCCAACCTCTTGAAAAGTAGATAACTAAGTGTAAAATATTCTGTAGAAATTCTAAAAAAATATTAAATCAGGCTTCTTTGAATAGATCACGACTTAGATTAGTTTTCATATCAGTGCGATTCTTCATCAAGACACCTCAAGTATCATTCAAGTACCTCCCAAGTATTGACAGCTACAAATCTTGGCAAACACAGATCTTTTCCCCCTCACTATTGAAGAGTTCCAAATCACAATTTACGATGTTTCTAAGAGGTTTTTGAAGATGTTATTAAAATGAATTACAGACGTATCTTTCCATCTTTTGGCTCTTTTTTCACAAAAAAAAAACGATGGGAAAATATTTAGAATTCCAACTTTTGGCATCAAAGTTACGTTACTTTACAAATGTATCTAATGACAACTGTGTATTACATTTCATTAAAAAGCTTGACAATTTAAGATCCCGAAATGAGGAGACTAATGCTGCTGTCCTGGCAAAATTTCCCTCATTGTACACTGCATGGCATTTGCCATCTTCATTACCCCACATGATGCAGAGCAGTAGGACATAAAAATCATTTCATTTCATTTCATTTGAACATGAAACATGTTGTTGGTGCCACTGTCCTGGCTAAATTTCCCTCATTGCACACTGCATGGCATTTGCCATCTTCATTACCCCACATGATGCAGAGCAGTAGGACATAAAAATCATTTCATTTCATTTCATTTGAACATGAAACATGTTGTTGGTGCCACTGTCCTGGCTAAATTTCCCTCATTGCACACTGCATGGCATTTGCCATCTTCATTACCCCACATGATGCAGAAAAGTAGGATGTAAAACACCATTCATTTCATTTCATTTTTTTTTACATTTCCACTAATTATATGTTGATATGTTTTGTATTTTTCAGGTGGGGAATGCCACGATTCGTGTTACCAAGAATCCAAACAGACCAAAGCGTGTTGGGGTGAAGGTCCAGATATGTGCCAAAAATGTAAGTTTTAAAAGGGTTAATTAAAAACAGAGAGTATTAATTGTTAATTAAACAGTTTGATCTAGTTTTGATGTTTGGCTTCATAATGGCTCAATATTATTAGTTAAAATCTTTAGAATACATAGGAGACATATTTTAACGCCCACATCTCTCTATGTGGACGAATATTGTCGGCACCCCTGTCCGTCCGTCAGTCTGTCCGTCCACAATTGCTCGTAAACACTCTAGAAGGCATAATCCTTGACAGATTTTGACAAAACTTGGTAACATTGTTCAGTAACGGCCCAAAAAGTTTAAAAGAAGTGTATGACTGAAGGTTGAATATTTCATACTGGTGATTGTTACTGTACTGCTAAATATTTTTATTTAAAATCAAAGCTGCCAGTGGGCGTATATTACCTTGCCTGGCAAGCTATCGTTTATTTGTTTACAGTGAGTCAAGGTGAAGTCTGTCATGGATCCTGTGATGGAAGGTGTTATGGTAAACTTCCCAACCAATGTTGTCATCCACAGTGTGCAGCTGGTTGTTCTGGGCCCAAGAAAACAGATTGCTTGGTGAGTATAGGGGATGGGTTGTAGCGCAGTAGAGTGTTGAAATCTTGCGTTGAATAAATGGTTCTGTAGCTAGTGGTGTTACTAGGAAACATTATGTGAGCGGGCTGAACAGTGACCACAAAATTTTCCAGGGGGGGCCACAGGTCATTCATTGTAAAATAATACAAAATTTGAAAGTGGGGGGTTAAACCTGAGCCTCCAACCACACCCTACCCCTGTAGCAAGGCCACTGTCTGTAGCGCAGTTGGCAAGAGTGTTAGAACCTTTATATGACATCACTTGCTTGGTTACCTCAAACAAATGGTGGTCGTTGGTTCTGTAGTCCAGTCGGTTAGAGTGTTGAAATCTTACCATTACATCATTTCCTTGCTTACATCAAACTTCGAGTAAAAACTTGTTATATTTTTGTCTTTACAGAGTTGTCGAAACTTCAATGATTTAGGGGCCTGTGTTGAATTTTGTCCACTACAAGAAATCTACGACAGCCAGAAATTTATCAAAGTTCCCAACCCTAACGCCAGATTTACTTACGGAGCCCTGTGCGTTAAAGAATGTCCACCAGGTAAGGAAAAGTGACTATTGTAGTCAAGGTATAAGATTAAGTTGGTAAAAGCTTGATATTGTAAAGATGTGATACAACAAAGGTGGCTATTGTAGTCAAGGTATAAGATGAAGTTCGTAATAGCTTGACATTGTGAAGATACAAGAAAAGTGACTATTGTAGTCAAGGTATAAGATGAAGTTGGTAAAAGCTTGACATTGTGAAGATTCAAGAAAAGTGACTATTGTAGTCAAGGTATAAGATGAGGTTCGTGATAGCTTGACATTGTGGCCGAACCAGGTTTGCTTGTAGATAGGCCAATATAGATGTTACAATGTTAATGCAAGGGAAGTAACAACTATTTTCTCAAGGTGAATCTCAGACCACAATTAAATGCTTGTATATTTTTCTTGCCAGGTATGTTGAATGAAGATGGTTTGTGTGTTATACAATGTTCAGAAGGGAAAATGGAAGACAAGAATGGTGTCTGCCAACAGTGTAAAGGTCCCTGTCCAAGAGGTAGGTTTATCAAAAACCCAAATAACTAACGGCAAAACCAGACATCCAAAATAACTTTTTTATGTTTTTATGTGTATCAGGGACACTGCTAGCATCGATTTACACCATTCCAATTTTCAATCAGACGTCTATGGTTCTTGTGATTACCTTACAGGGATTGTGGAAAAAGTTTCTTGCTGTAGAGATAGGCAAATATATCGTGCCCTAGTTGGAAATTCAAGAGTAGCAGTAAGACTGTCACGGCAAAATTTACCTCATTGTACACTGTTGGCTTAATCATTAGCACAAACAGTAGGATGTAAAACTCCATTCCTTTTCATTTTATTTTGTACTTTATTCCAGCATGTCTTGGGACAGTCCCTGATAAATTCTTCACCTCTGGTCCATGCTATGCTATGCTATGCTAATATGTTGATTTTGTATTCCAGCATGTCTTGGGACAGTCCCTGATAAATTCTTCACCTCTGGTCTGCTATGCTATGCTATGCTAATATGTTGATTTTGTATTCCAGCATGTCTTGGGACAGGTCCTGATAAATTCTTCACCTCTGGTCCATGCTATGCTATGCTATGCTATGCTAATATGTTGATTTTGTATTCCAGCATGTCTTGGGACAGTCCCTGATAAATTCTTCACCTCTGGTCCATGCTATGCTATGCTAATATGTTGATTTTGTATTCCAGCATGTCTTGGGACAGTCCCTGATAAATTCCTCACCTCTGGTCCATGCTATGCTATGCTATGCTATGCTAATATGTTGATTTTGTATTCCAGCATGTCTTGGGACAGTCCCTGATAAATTCTTCACCTCTGGTCCATGCTATGCTATGCTATGCTAATATGTTGATTTTGTATTCCAGCATGTCTTGGGACAGTCCCTGATAAATTCTTCACCTCTGGTCCATGCTATGCTATGCTATGCTAATATGTTGATTTTGTATTCCAGCATGTCTTGGGACAGTCCCTGATAAATTCTTCACCTCTGGTCCATGCTATGCTATGCTAATATGTTGATTTTGTATTCCAGCATGTCTTGGGACAGTCCCTGATAAATTCTTCACCTCTGGTCTATGCTATGCTATGCTATGCTAATATGTTGATTTTGTATTCCAGCGTGTCTTGGGACAGGACCTGATAAATTTCTAACCGCTGAGAATCTAGAAAGGTTTACAGATTGTACCAGAATTCAAGGAACATTAAAAATTTTAACACCAACTTTTAGTGGGTAAGCTTTTTATACATCAACGTGGAAATGTAGCCCCTGTCCGTCATTTCATCGGTCCGTCGGTCTGTCCACAATTGACTTGTGAACACACCAGAGACAATAGTTTTTATCTGATTATAATGAAACTTGAAGTGATAATGTATATTGATGAGATCTTGGTCAAGTTCAAATTTGACGATTTTTCGATGAATGGTTTTTGAGTTATTGCCCTTGAATAAGGAAACTTGAAGTGATAATGTATATTGATGAGATCTTGGTCAAGTTCAAATTTGATGATTTTTCGATGAATGGTTTTTGAGTTATTGCCCTTGACTAAGGAAACTTGAAGTGATAATGTATATTGATGAGATCTTGGTCAAGTTGGAATTGGATGATTTTTCAGTGAACGGTTTTTGAGTTATTGCCCTTGACTTAGGAAAAGCGTGTTGAAATTTGTTTGTGAACACAATAGAGACTACAGTTTTCAACTGATTTTAATGAAATTTGGTGTGATCATTTATCATGATGATGTCCTAGTGAAGGTCGAATGTGATGATGTTTTAATGAACAGTTTTTGAGTTATTGCCCTTGACTTAGGAAAAATATGTCAAAATTTGTTTGTGAACACATTAGAGACTACAGTTTTCAATTGATTTTAATGAAACATGGTGTGATCATGTATATTGATGAGATAATTTGTATTTGGGTTATTGATATTGATTTTTAAAAATTTTGTGGAATTACTCAGCATTAATAACTGGCATATATATATGTAATTGAATTCAAACTAATAAATTTCTTCAATATGAGAAAATTCATACTTTAGTCACTAAAGACTGTTTTATTATTTCTGCCAGCTGCCAGTGGGCGTATGTTACCTTGCCTGGCAAGCTATCTTTTATGGAATGAAAAGTATCGTACATTATATGCGTATCGTGGCATGTTGATTCCCTATATACATCGTGCCAGCACTAGTGTAGACAAAATTCAAAATGACTGAGAAGAATATTGATAGGAAAATCTTGAAAGTGACAGAAACCGTCCAAAAGCTCCAAACAAGTGCCACTAAGCAGTAAATAGAAGGGAAGTAAATCTTGTTAAAAATAGAATAATTCAGACCACAATATAACTATAATGAATTCATATTTTCAGAGATAAACATAATGATATTCCACCATTACATCCAGCCAATCTGACAGTGTTTGAATACGTCCGTGAAATAACAGGTAATCTGATCATCCAATCATCTCACGAGGATTTCAAGAATTTATCGTGTTTTAAAAGTTTGGAGTATATTTATGGTCGTGAAACTAACAGGTGAGTGGCCAAATTTTGGAGGTTTTTGGGGCTTTTGGGACTTAGTTCTAGTGGAATTGCAGGAACCACAGACGTGTGATTGAAAATTGGAATGATGTAAATTGATGCTATCAGTGTCCCTGATACACATACAAAAGTTAGAAAACATCTTTAAAACAATCCATTAAATTTTGCTGTCAAGAAGCCGGATGTAAAACTCCACTGTGTTCTATTTTCAGTGAATTATCGTTGAGTATAATAATGACGAAGTTAGAATCACTAGAATTGATGAATTTGAAACAGATCAGGCGTGGAAGTGTAATGATTGCTGGTAATACACAACTCTGTTATATTAACAGTATCAACTGGTCCAAACTTCTGTCTACCAATCAACAGAAAACAACTATCTCCCATAATAAAAACACTTCCCTCTGTAGTAAGTATACAGTTTTCATTTCTATACGCCCATATGTATCGTATAGGTAAAGGTTTGACCAAATACCAGCTGGTAGAAAGGATCCTTGTGAACCTAAGTTGTTATCCTTGTAAAATCAATACCAAGAGGTTTGATCAAGGACCAGCTGGTAGAAAGGGTCCTTGTGAACCTAAGTTATCCTTGTAAAATCATTACCAAGAGGTTTGGCTGAGGACCAACTGATAGAAAGGATCCTTGTGAACCTAAGTTGTTATCCTTGTAAAATCAATACCAAGAGGTTTGACCTAGGACCAGCTGGTAGGAGGGACCCTCGTAAACCTAAGTTGTTATCCTTGTAAAATCAATGCCAAGAGGTTTGACCAAGGACCAGCTGGTAGAAAGAATCCTTGTGAACTTAAGTTGTCATCCTTGGAAATTCTGAATTTGAAGGCAAAAATTTTGACGATGAGCTGTGAACACTATTACTGATTGGCTTAGCTAATGAAGTATGATTGGTCAAAAAAAATGACACACCTGTCCCTTTAAGTAAGTAAGAAAACAAACTCATTAAGTCGTTATATTTTTCAGTGGCAGAAAACAGAGTATGTGATCCAGAATGTTCGTTAGATGGTTGCTGGGGACCAGGCTCGGAGAAATGTTTGAGTTGTAAGAGATATAGAATTGAAGAAAAAAATGTCTGTATTAAATCGTGTGCTCATATTGAACTCCATTACGAGGGTGATAATATGATCTGTAAACCTTGTCACGAAGAATGCCATAATAACTGTACTGGTCCGGTGAGTCTTATTTTACATCTTTAATATTTACTTGATGTTGTGGTGAGTATAATGTGATGTCATAAGTATTTATGACATCATAAGTGGAATGTGATGTCATGAGTTGAATGTGATGTCATGAGTTGAATGTGATGAGTTGAATGTGATGTCATGGGTTGAATGTGATGTCATGGGTTGAATGTGATGTCATGGGTTGAATGTGATGTCATGAGTTGAATGTGATGTCATGAGTATAATGTGATGTCTTGAGTTGAATGTGATGAGTTGAATGTGATGAGTTGAATGTGATGTCATGGGTTGAATGTGATGTCATGAGTTGAATGTGATGTCATGAGTTGAATGTGATGTCATGAGTTGAATGTGATGAGTTGAATGTGATGTCATGGGTTGAATGTGATGTCATGAGTTGAATGTGATGTCATGAGTTGAATGTGATGTCATGAGTATAATGTGATGTCTTGAGTTGAATGTGATGAGTTGAATGTGATGTCATGAGTTGAATGTGATGTCATGAGTTGAATGTGATGTCATGAGTATAATGTGATGTCTTGAGTTGAATGTGATGTCATGTGTATTTATGACGTTATTGAGTATTATGTAATGTTATAAATGGAATGTAATGTCATGTGTATTTATGACATCATAAGTGGAATGTGATGTTGTGAGTGTAATATGATGTCATGAGTGGAATGTGATGTCATGATTATTTATGATGTCATGAATATAATGTGATGTCATGAGTTGGATGTGATGTCATGAGTTGAATGTGATGTCATGAGTTGGATGTGATGCCATGAGTTGGATGTGATGTCATGAGTTGGATGTGATGTCATGAGTTGAATGTGATGTCATGAGTTGAATGTGATGTCATGAGTTGAATGTGATGTCATGAGTTGAATGTGATGTCATGAGTTGGATGTGATGTCATGAGTTGAATGTGATGTCATGAGTTGGATGTGATGTCATGAGTTGGATGTGATGTCATGAGTTGAATGTGATGTCATGAGTATACTGTGACATAATAAGTATTTATGACGTTATTATATAAGTGGAATGTGATGTCATGGTTATTTATGATATTTTTGAGTATAATGTGATGAGTATTTATCATGTGATAAACTATGTATTATAATAAACTATGTATCTATTATAGGAACCAAGTGAATGTGATAGCTGTATTAATGTCAGTATAATAGACAGCACCAATCATACTATCTGTCTAGCGGAGTGTCCTGAAATCATGTATCCAGACAAAAACTCTGTATGTCAGAAATGTCACAAGAATTGTGCCAATGGGTGAGTTTTCTCTTAGAATATCATGATTCAGAAATAGCTGTTTCTCACAGATTCTCAGGTTTTCTAAATATTTTATGTGTATCAGGAACATCAATTAACACCATTCTAATTTTCAAACAGACGTCTGTGGTTCTTGTTAAAGAGATTGTAAAGATGTTTTCTAAATTTTTTATGTGTATTAGGGACACTGATAGCATCAATTTACATCATTCTAATTTTCAATCAGATGTCTGTGGTTCTTGTTAAAGAGATTGTAAAGAGGTTTTCTAAATTTTTTTTGTGTATCAGGGACACTGATAGCATCAATTTACACCATTCTAATTTTTAATCAGACGTCTGTGGTTCTTGTTAAAGAGATTGTAAAGAGGTTTTCTAAATTTTTTATGTGTATCAGAGACACTGATAACATCAATTTACATCATTGTAATTTTCAATGAGATGTCTGTGGTTCCTGCAATTTCATGGAAACTAAGCGTTTGTTGACGTCACTAATGGCAAAGGGCCAACACGCTTGCATTTAACCAAGTTTTTGTTTTGTAAAAAAACGCACACAAAACCTTTGAATACTTAACGAGCATGTGAAATTATTTGTATGAAAAAATTTGCTTAGAATAATTTAGCTGCTTCATACAAAGCTATTTGGATAAAGTGAACCACAGTCCCATCTTTGTAGATATCTGTGTAAATTGTTGGGTGTTAAATATGACTATAAATTATGATTTGTAGGTGTACAGGTCCGATGGATCATGTTGGGGAGAACGGCTGTAATTCATGTGAGGTCGGATACCGACAAATGAAGGGAAGCTCTACGATTAAATGCATGCCCACGGATACTGATAACTGTCCAGATGGACATCACATGAAACCTGTCAAATTTGATATCATCGATCCATTGGCTGGAAAAAGGGTAGGTTATTTTTTTCAATGTGACACTCTAACCAAGTACTAACGATCCGAACTGCAAAACAAAACCCACAATCCATAAACAACATATTGACGAAATATTGGTAGCAGCTAATGTATAAATAAACCAAGTACTAACGATCCGAACAGCAAAACAAAACCCACAATCCAAAACAACATATTGGTGAAACATTGGTAGCAGCTAATGAATAAATAAACCAAGTACTAACGATCCGAACAGCAAAACAAAACCCACAATCTAAAACAACATATTGGTGAAACATTGGTAGCAGCTAATGTATAAATAAACCAAGTACTAACGATCCGAACAGCAAAACAAAACCCACAATCCAAAACAACATATTGGTGAAACATTGGTAGCAGCTAATGTATAAATAAACCAAGTACTAACAAACCGAACAGCAAAACAAAAACCACAATCCAAAACAACATATTGGTGAAACATTGGTAGCAGCTAATGAACTTTTCATATGAGGAAGTATATTAATTATAATTGAGTGGTATCAGGTGTCTAGAAGAGTAAGCATACTCTGCCTGGCACAAAACTGCTCACATGAGGAAGTATATCAATTATAAATGAGTAAGACCCAATAGGTAGAAAGGATCTTTGTGAACCTAAGTTGTTATCCTTGTAAAATCAATACCAAGAGGTTTGATCAATGACCAGCTGGTAGAAAAGGATCCTTGTGAACCTAAGTTGTTATCCTTGTAAAATCAATACCAAGAGGTTTGATCAATGACCAGCTGGTAGAAAAGGATCCTTGTGAACCTAAGTTGTTATCCTTGTAAAATCAATACCAAGAGGTTTGGCCAAGGACCAGCTGGTAGAAAGGATTCCTTTGAACCTAAGTTGTTATCTTGTCAAAATTGGCTGTTTCTTTTTTTTTTTTTTTTTTTTTAACTTATATTAATGTTTTTGATATTTATTTCAGATTTGTGAGCCGTGTCATAGATTCTGTAAAACGTGTACTGGTGCTGGAGTGTATTATTGTAATCTCTGTCGTTATTACTTTCAACAAAGCACGTGCGTGGAACACTGTCATACCATGAGTTATGGTAACAACGATACGAAGATGTGTGACACGTGTCATACCGAATGCCGGAGTGGTTGCCGTGGACCAGATAGCTCTGATTGTCTAGCCTGTAAAAATTTCAAGATCTATACCAATGAAGAAACTACTAAGGTTAGTATTTTTGGATCATTCCAACTTTTGGACCAAAATTTTAGTACCACTTTTCAAAACTTTGATACCCCTGGCTGAGAAGAACCTCACTGTGCTTGAGCAACCTGTCTGTGATTTTCTTCTGTTTCCCAAGGTGAAGAGTGTCATTAAGAGTATCTGTTTCAAACACATGGATGACTTCCAGAATGTTGTTTTGAGGGATGTGCAGAGAAAGATGGGAAAGTACATAAGACTCTAGGGGGATTACTTAAAAGGGACAAGTGCAGCATTTTGAGGGGGTTGATTTGAGTCTTGAATATATGTAAATAGTCTTCAGAAATACTAGAAATGTACCAAAATCACATAATTCCTTCAAAAATACAACGATACACTACTATACATGATCCTTGGCTTGGTTGATTTGAGTCTTGAATATTTGTAAATAGTCTTCAGAAGTACTAGAAATGTACGAAAATCACATAATTCCTTTAAAAATATCTCAAACTAGGAATTTTACTGACTATTTCTATAGATGTCTTTTCTATATATCACAGTGTCTCAAGAAAAGACGAGTCGTCATTTTAACTTTCAAACGTAGATAATTCTGGACACACATGGATTTGAAAGCTCAAATTTCGACAGTGAGCTATGAACACTATTACTGATTGACTCAGCTAAAAAAATCCCTTTTCTGAGACTAAAGTATAATCCGGCAAAAAAATGACGCATCCGTCCCTTTAAAAGAGAAAAAGTCATAGTTTGTAGTTTTTGATTGTAATAAATCTGCTCTGACACCAGTCCTAAAACGAAGCTCTCATATCGTATTTTGGTTGTATTCTAAAGTTTGAAACTTCTTAATAATTTCAGTTTAACTGTACGTTGAAATGCCCTGATGATGTGCCGTTTCTGGTTGACGATATTAATAGCTCCGAGTCGACTTCCTCCCATACTGTTTGTGCGGATGCTTCTCATCCTGATGTCAAAGCCAGACAGACCAAAAATGCTGAGTAAGTGAAATTTTCGTTTGGTGTCATTAACTTATTAAAGATGAAAATGTTTTGTCCATGTTTGTACAGTCTGGATAAACAAAAAAATACTTTTTGACCTTTCTTGATTGGTCACTCATTGGAATTCTGCTGGTAATTCTCTTCTAATTTAGCTAATTATGAATTAATTATGGACATGTGAGACAAACTGGTATTTTTCAAAGTCATTAGAAAACCTCTACTTTCTATTCATATAAGTATTAGCATTTTCATTTTCATAAATGAAAATAAGGGAACCCATCTTTAATGAAATTACCTGTAGATGAAGCAACGGATGTCCTCTGACCAGCATAAGAAGAAGCACCACCAGGGGACTCACAAATTTTGGCTGAAATTTGGCTTCTGTAAAAGCAAATTTTGAAACCCATATGACAGATTTTTCCAGATTTATCAAAAGCAAGACAATTCCATTAATCAAAATCTCGTCCAAAGTATTGCAAAATCGAGAGTAAAAGTTGTATATTAGTGGATTCCTCAAAAGAGAAGTACCATCAGGTGTTTGGAAAAGAGTAAGCATGGTCTGCTTCAAGCACGACACCTGTACAAGCAAGACAGTTCCATTAATCAAAATCTTGTCCAAAGAATGTCAAAATCGAGAGTAAAAGTTGTATATTAGTGGACTCCTCAAAAGAGAAGTACCATCAGGTGTTTCGAAAAGAGTTTGCATGGTCTGCTTCACGCAACAACTACCACTACTATATAGGTCAAACAGATCAGCCAAGATGCAAGAAAGTTAAAAAGGTTGTGCATTATATTTGCAAGTATACAGTAATCATGATTATTTGTTATAATTCTAGAGAAGAGAAGAAGAAAATGGCTATAATAGTAGGTCCTACCATAGCTGGAGTTGTGGTTCTTGGATTGTTGATTTTGTGTATAGCCTGGTGCTGCCAGCGACAAGCTAAAGCCAAGGAAAAGACAGCTAAATTGACAGCTAGAATGACTGGCTGTGATGAGGAAGTGGTAAGTGGAAAAAAAAACAATTATTTTTACAAGGTTTTAACAGGATTTAGGTTCACGAGGATCCTTTCTACCAGCTGGTCCTTGGTCAAACCTCTTGGTATTGATTTTACAAGGATAATAACTTAGGTTCACAAGGATCCTTTCTACCAGCTGGTCCTTGGTCAAACCTCTTGGTAATGATTTTACAAGGATAACAACTTAGGTTCACAAGGATCCTTTCTACCAGCTGGTCCTTGTCCAAACCTCTTGATATTGATTTAACAAGGATAACAACTTAGGTTCACGGGGATCCTTTCTACCAGCGGGTCCTTGTCCAAACCTCTTGATATTGATTTAACAAGGATAACAACTTAGGTTCACGGGGATCCTTTCTACCAGCGGGTCCTTGACCAAACCTCTTGGTATTGATCTTTCCTTGATTATTTTATGGCTTCATCTTATATTTACCGATAATTGCTTGAATTCATTTCAGCCTTTAACACCAACACTAGCTAAACCAGATCTGGCTCAGTTAAAATTGATCAAAGAAAATGATTTAAGGCGTGGTGGAATTATAGGATCTGGTGCTTTTGGTACTGTATATAAGGTAGGGATGAATTGCATGATACACCATACAGTATACAATGGAGGAAATTTGTCCAGTGTCCATTTTTTTAATGAGCTTTTATTTTTAATATAGCCACTTCAGTAAGGGTCTAACGACAGCCCTCTTGAACGTTCGTCAAATTAACCTTTTGACTAACCTGATAAATACCCTGTCACAAAATGCCAGGGCTGGAGAGGGTAGAAATTTGATTGGTTAAAGCAGATTTGGAGTTTATAATCTACGTATTTGAAAAAATTTTCACCCAATCAAGGCAAATCTCCAGATTTTTCAAGGCAGATCTGCAAATTTTTTGAAGGGGGGCTCAACTATAGCGACTCAACAAGTCATTTAAGTCATCTAAATTTTCCAGGAGGGGGCTAAAATTTTCTTAGGGTGGGCCTTGCCCCCCGTGACCCCTCTCTAGCTACGGGCTGCTCCCACTGGTGCTTAAAAAAGAATTTTTGTATTTCAGGGTTTCTGGATTCCAGAAGGTGAAAATATCAAAATACCAGTAGCCATTAAGGTTTTACAAGAAGGCACATCGCCCAATCAGAATAAAGAATTACTAGAAGAGGCCCGCGTCATGACATCAGTGGAACATCCATGTTGCGTTCGAATCCTGGCCGTTTGCATGACGGCACAAATGATGTTGATCACACAACTGATGCCTCTGGGATGTCTGTTGGATTACGTTCGTAAAAACAAAGACCATATTGGTTCCAAGGTCTTACTGAATTGGTGTACACAAATTGCTAGGGTAAGAAAAATTCAAAAGTATTGGAGTTAAGTTAGGTAAAGAACTCTTCAATATGAAGGAAGAATTAGTCATTGAAAATATATGGTTGTTAGGCAACCTCTTAAATATGGCAAAATATAGGATTAGTCATTGAAAATATATAATAGTCTTCAGAAATACTAGAAATGTACCAAAATCACATAATTCCTTCAAAAATACAACGATACACTATACATGGTCCTTGGCTTGGTTGATTTGAGTGTTGAATATATGTAAATAGTCTTCAGAAATACTAGAAATGTACGAAAATCACATAATTCCTTCAAAAATATCTCAAACTAGGAATTTTACTCACTATTTCTATAGATGTATTTTCTATATATCAGAGTGTCTCAAGAAAAGACGAGTCGTCATTTTAACTTTCAAACGTAGATAATTCTAGACACACATGAATTTGAAGGCTCAAATTTTGACAGTGAGCTGTGAACACTATTACTGATTGGCTTAGCTAAAAAATTCCCGTTTCTGAGACTAAAGTATGATTGGCGAAATCTGTCCCTTTAAAACAGCCTAAATTCTTATTTTTGAATGCCAATATTTTTTTGTAGGGTATGGTATATCTAGAAGAAAGGGGTATTGTACACAGAGATTTAGCTGCTAGAAATGTTCTTCGTAAGTAGACTTCTCTTACGTCACTGGTCAATGAGGTTATGGGTTCGCTTGATTGGTGCGTTCTATACTTCTGAAATTATAGAATCAACTAAACATTCAATAAAACAAGTTGAAACAGAGTTCAGAGCGCTTTTGACGTGTGCTAAAAAATTTAGAAAACCTTTTCACAATCCCTTTAAATGTAACCTAGCAGACGACAATCAAACTTTCTACTGACTAGAGATATTTCACTACTTTGTGGAATCATTCATTAAAACAGTTGAAACAGAACGTGGTCCAGGTGTGCCGAAAAAATATTAGGTGAAGACAGAATTCAAAATGGCGGAAAAGGAAATAGAAGGGAAAATTTTGAATGTGGTCAACCCGCTTTCGTATCGTTCGGTTGTGGGCAGAATTGGAACAGACAGAACCTGTTTAGAAGGAACTAATCGAGCGCCACCAATATGTCCTGAAGTCTCGAAGTAGACTCAGTCTATGGAAAAAGCGTCTACAGGCTGTACACATTAAAGATCCCTCGACAGTTGGAAATCGAAAAAGAGCAGGCTAATGCTGCTGTCCTGGCTAAATTTCCCTCATTGCACACTGCATGTTGGAGGGGCTGACATGGAAAAAGTGTCTAGTCCTTTTAGATGGGACAATAAACTGAGGCCCAGGCTGTGCAAGTTAAAGATCTCTCGACAGTTGGAAGTTGAAAAAGAGTAGGCTAATGTCGCTGTCCTGGCAAAATTTCCCTCCTTGCACACTGCTTAGCATTGCCTGTATTCATTATCCAAATCAGGTGCACATTAAAGATCCCTTGACGGTTGGAAATCGAAAAAGATAATAGTCTTGTACTGCTGTTCTGGCAAAATTTCCCTCTTTGCACACTGCATGGTGTTCCTTATCTTCATTGTTCAGGTGAATTCAACTTCATTTTTAATTTTTTCAGTACATAACACTCAGAATACCCAACAAGTTAAGATCACAGATTTTGGACTGGCCAAATTATTAGATTATGATGAAGAAGTTTATCAAGCTGCTGGTGGCAAGGTTGGTTTGAATTTTATCTCTTCTAACAATATATTGATATTAAAACAGAACCTGAAACATGTTGTTACTCAGAGTTTCACGCTGTGTGATCTTCAGACAACTAAAACAGAACCTGAAACATGTTGTTACTCAGAGTTTCACGCTGTGTGATCTTCAGACAACTAAAACAGAACCTGAAACATGTTGTTACTCAGAGTTTCACGCTGTGTGATCTTCAGACAACTAAAACAGAACCTGAAACATGTTGTTACTCAAAGTTTCACACTGTCTGATCTTCAGACAACTAAAGCAGAACCTGAAACATGTTGTTAGCATTAGAATGTATCCAGCATAGAATATTTACACATAAATGCTTGAAAATGTCTGTATGTGAACACTCTAAAATGATTCTTTGTCTATTCCTAGATGCCAATAAAATGGTTAGCATTAGAATGTATCCAACACAGAATATTCACGCATAAAAGTGACGTATGGAGCTATGGTGTGACTGTCTGGGAATTGATGACGTATGGTTTAAAACCATACGATAGTATACGAGCCCGAGACGTACCCGATTTACTGGAGAAAGGCGAGCGTCTACCACAACCTCATTGTTGTACAATAGATGTCTATATGATTATGATCAAATGTAAG